GCGGTGCCTGGAGGCGGAGGCGTCATAGTGTCCTCGTGACCGTTCCATTCCGAGCACGTGGAGGGACGGAGTGACGTCATCAGAAATAAAAGCTGTAATATCTCAAATACCGTAACAGCACAAACGAAAGTTTTTGCAGCACAAACCAGCACAAACGAAGCACAAACGGACGACACCACTTTTGTCCAATTTGGAGCTATCTGGGGGGCTGAGTGACCTGTGGATGACCCCAAAAGTATTGTTTAATATCTCAAAAACCGTAACAGCACAAACGAAACTTTTTGCAGCACAAACCAACACAAACGAAGCACAAACACAAACCAACACAAACGAAGCACAAACACAAACCAGCACAAACGAAGCACAAACGGATGACACCATTTTGGCTTTATTTTGCGTTGGATGGGGGGCCAACTTCACGCAGATAGTCTGCACCCTGTCTACTCTATTACTAAACAGTTATGTATTAACAGCATATGCATTGTGTGTGTAGAATGTGTATTACGCATTTACAACAACTGTCCATAGCCTACGTCATGTTTTTATATGAATGGTAAAGGCTGGTGCGGAGGAGTTGTGGGGAGGTGGAGGGCTGGTTGAGATCACGCATGCGCAGTACCATACCGGCGACGGCTGTACAAACGGTGGCCTAGCAAATACGGGGATTTCAGAGCCGATCTTGACAGGTCAGTTAATAATAAGTATATCTAGTTTAGGAATGTTTGTGTGGTATTGATTTATAATCAGAATCCAATTTACTTCTGTTGGTCGGCGACGTCTGAACAAAATGGAGCTGTCGCAAGCGCTAACGTTAGCTAAACGAGCTAGCCAAGTTTAGCTAGCTAGCTTTCGGTATTATGTTGTGCTAATAAGCGACTTTGACATTAGCTGGCTAAGTCTAGCCTTTCCCTTAATTTGATTGGTTTCTGCTTTGCCGATTTGTGACAGAATAACGGGAAGCAGCGCACTGGATCATTAGATCATAATATGTTTGGCTGCTTTATTGATCACGTAGTGTTAGAACATAAACTAACCAGGTAGAGGTAGAGGTGAGGGCATTTATGCTAACTGAAGTTGAAGTTTAGCTATCAAAGAAGCTACCTTAGTGAATGTCTTGGTAATCTATACGCATGCAGAAAACTGGTAAAGGCTACCCTTCTCACAGCTAGCTCTAAGTATTTTGGTTGAAGATGTATAAACTACATGCATTGCTTGGACAGCTGGTGGTGTAGTACAGGCGCTTGCCATCTGTCAGTACAGGACTCACTTCCACAGTTTCCTCAGTCATTTTTAAAACTGTCCTCATAAAATTTGCATGTATATTTCTAGATGTAAAAAATAAGAACATTCCAGTTTGATACTTTATTCTTTTAATGCCACAACATTTCAGAAGGATACATGGTTACTCCTCTGCATTTATGGCAACTGTAGTTACTAGTTATTTTGCAGATTGAGATAAACAAAACAAAAAATAGGCTAATCAACAAATACATTATCACTTATTGTATTTTAATATAAGACTACTATGTTAACATTACAAACTACTATGCACTACATATAGTAGTTTAAAATTTGCTCCATCTTTACCTGCTGAAACAATGAAGTGAGATACACTTTATACTTGAGTAGTTACAATCCAGTAACATGATATGCATTGTTCTCAGAATAATTCATGAGTACTTTTACTTTTGGTACTTAAAGAACCTTTACTGGTTTGTGTGGTTTTGCTACTTTTGCTTAAGCAAAAGATCTGAGTACTTCTTCAGCCACTGTCTGTGTTTTCCTAGGCTACACAATGAGTCAGGGTAAGGACAATGCACGACTCAAGAGCTACAAGAACAAGTCTCTCAACACAGATGAAATGAGACGAAGGAGGGAAGAGGAAGGCCTACAGCTACGCAAACAGAAGAAGGATGAACAGGTGAGTGTGGTAGATTTTAATGTCTTATTGTTGAGGTAGAATTGTCCTCAAAGTAAAATGAAGGACTTGTGAACACTCTTTACCAATCTCTATCAACCAAACAGTTTGTGAGGTCACTAAGAAAACTTGAATCCATGTTGTTATTCTAACAACATAGTTGTTAAGAAGGATTGTGCTAAGATCAAAATAATATTTCTAAACACTACTGTATTCCAGCTATTTAAGAGGAGGAATGTTTCCACCATGGAGGATGATGGCATCCTGGAGGATGATGGAATGGCTGATAGTGGCTACCTGGAGTCACAGGCTAACAACATGGACCCACTCATGGTGAGAAGAAAAACACTGGTTAAATCAGTCTGTTATACTGGAGTATATAGTGCAGTGGTTCCCAAATGGTGTGCGGTGGGATTTTGTCACAACCGTACATTATTATATCGGTACTGTGTACACACTCATTTCCCAATTCAGAGGCAAACCCTCTAGCCTAAACAAACTTCCTAAAGAAAAGAAAAAGAACTGTCAGTAAACAGTATTATGAAAGCTGCCTGTCTTATGGCTTCAGACGAATGTTAAAATTACAGGTGACATGCTAAGTCCGGATGCGCTTGCCCTTTGGGCACAAAAAGTTTGAAAACCATCAATATAGAGTATAAAGTCAGGTGTTTTATCAAATCTCCATCTCCATGTTCTACAGGGTGGGGTGATCTCTGAAGATATGACTCAAATGATCTTCTCCAGTTCACCTGAGCAGCAGCTAATAGGAACTCAGCGCTTTAGGAAACTCCTTTCTAAAGGTAAAGGTGTCATAGATAATGCTTGTTCCTCATAGACTTTTCTCCTTTGTTCATGACAGCGGCACCTGCCTGTTTCTTTCAGTTTGTCACCTATTCATAAGAGTACTTGTAAACTGGCAACTGAATGAGCAAATCTGTTTTTCCAGCAATTTACAGACTCTGCCACTCCTAACCCACCCATGTTGCAGCAGTAAAATAATTGTTTTTGTACATGCAGTTTGACTATGAAAAGAAATGTTTGTAATTTTAAGTAGTAAAGTAAACATTTTAATCTGTTTGTCAACATAAAATCATAATGTTGTGATCAGTATTATAGTGTATATATTGCCATATTCTCCACCTCTGCTGTACATCTCACACAGAGCCCAACCCACCCATTGATGAAGTCATTGCTACTCCAGGGGTGGTGGAGCGCTTTGTTGAGTTCCTGAAGAGGAGAGAAAACTGCACATTGCAGGTACACAGACTCAACTGAGGGGGCATTAAGCTTCTTGTTGTTTTTTGTTCTTTCTATCATTTGTGTACTTATTGTCATAACAGTACATTTCAGAAACAATGTGGTACAGTAGGAGAACACCGACAGTTAAAATCTGTCCTGAGTGTCCAACATAAGGTGATAGATATATTTCTCATGTATTTTTGATATGGTTTTAGTTTGAGGCTGCCTGGGTGTTGACCAACATTGCATCGGGTACATCCCACCAGACGCGAGTGGTAATCCAGGCAGGAGCTGTACCTATATTCATAGAGATGCTCAGCTCAGATTTTGAAGATGTACAGGAACAGGTAAAGCGAATTCACTGGAAGTCACTAAATTCACAATTTTTCTCCACAGTTTTTTGCCTGTCTGGATGCAGCTGTATATAGTAGCATAAATGTAGTCATTCTGCCTGCTTTATTAGGTTGAATAAAACATAGTGGTGGTGATTCAAAATATTTTACATCATCAAAGTCTATTATCTTGTTCTCAGCACTGTAACTGAATATTATATTGTGATACTATTTAATGTGTAACCTGAATAATTGCTTTGCCCCTCAGGCAGTGTGGGCCTTGGGAAACATAGCAGGAGACAGCACAGAATGCAGAGACTTTGTCATAGACTGCAACATTTTGCCTTCCCTGGTGCAGTAAGTAGCAAATCGGTGCCACATTGTCATCTCCCTAAACCTTCTTGTTACACTTGAAAATGAAGCACAGTATTGGGTCTGTAGCCATGGTAAACCCTGCTTGGTAAAACTCCTCTTGCAGGTTACTGGCCAAACAGAATCGTCTAACGATGATGAGGAATGCAGTTTGGGCTCTGTCAAACTTGTGCAGAGGGAAGAATCCACCTCCAGACTTTGCTAAGGTAGTTTGCCAAAATATACACATTGCTATGGCAACAGCACACCACACACTTCTAATATACATCATATCTTACTTTCCAAGGTTATAAGCCATTTGAAGTTGTTCATATCTAAACTGAAACTCAAACTATCTTGTGCCTGTTCTGTTCGTTGTGCCATGTGTTTCCAGGTGTCTCCTTGTCTCAGTGTGCTGTCTTGGCTGCTGTTCGTCAATGACACAGACATACTGGCTGACGCGTGTTGGGCGCTCTCCTACCTGTCTGACGGCCCCAATGACAAAATCCAGGCTGTTATCGACTCAGGAGTCTGTCGCAGGCTGGTAGAATTACTGATGTAAGGCTTTAAACACATGTGTATGCAATACAGCTAAGATATTTAGTGTTGTTCAAGAAACAAGCAGGCCCTTAGTTTTACTGTGGTAAGTGCCGTTTCACTCAGAGTATCATTTGTCACAACTAATTTGGGTGTGACACTCCAGATGTGGGTATGTTGTGAATATTACCAGGCACTATTGAAATCTGACTAATTCATCACCAGCTGTGGCAAACTGCAAAAGTCAGGAGACAATGCACTATAGTCCCAACTGTCCCATTTGATTTTCAGTATGAAAAATACCATAAGCTCACTGTTGATTTTTAACAGAACTTTTAAGATTTGATAACATCCTGAAATTAGACAAACGTTTTAACATCTGAGTGATCACACACACTACAACTGTGCATTTGTTTTAGGCATTCAGATTATAAGGTGGTATCCCCTGCACTGCGAGCTGTTGGGAACATAGTCACCGGAGATGATGTACAGACACAGGTATAACGGACACACAAATTAAGTTAAACTGCTTGTTCAGAAAGTAATGGAATACTTCAAGGTGAATATTTCTGACTTTGGTTGTGTTGTTACCTAGGTGATCCTGAACTGTTCAGTGCTGCAGTCCCTACTTCATCTCCTGAGCAGCCCCAAGGAGTCCATCAAGAAGGAAGCCTGCTGGACGATCTCCAACATCACTGCAGGGAACCGAGCACAAATCCAGGTGTGCATGGTGAAGTGATGGATACAGCAGGGCTTTCTGATGCACTAAATATATAGTATGACACTACTGTGATGAAAGTGTTTCACTTTTAAAACATTACAGTCAAAAATGGCGACATCTGCTGGCCAAATCCTCAATACTGCATTTGCATATAGAATAGGGTATCCTGCTGATACATCTAGTCAGAATATTATTTGGTAAAAAAAGGCTCGTATTATGAAAACTGATCACTAGGCTCCTTAAATACTGTGGCATAATAAGAAGTATACAGTGCCAAGTAGTCTGTTTTGAGTGTAACATCATTTGGGTGGTGTGACACAGCTGAACCTGGAAAATATTTGCTCACAGGTTTTGGAGCATTTCTTTATGCAGTTATTTTGTTTGTTTTTTTCTCCTCTTTGTAGATGGTGATAGATGAAGGTCTCCTGCCTCCTCTTATCACTATCCTACAAGTAGCAGAGTTTCGCACAAGGAAGGAGGCAGCGTGGGCAATTACCAATGCCACCTCTGGGGGCTCCGCAGAGCAGATCAGGTAAGACTACAGATGCATTTTATTTTAACTTAAGCCCCTTTTCCACTGCCTGGTACCGGCTCAGCACAACTTGACTCAACTTGCCTTATTTGTTTTTCCAAATGTTGGGGATAGTACCTGGTACTGTTTTTGGTATTACCTCCGCTCGTAGTACTATTCGAATACACATGGCACTACACTGAGATGAGATTTAACTCATTTTTAATATGTGATGGTCAATGCTGATATTGTGGCAGCCCGCCTCAAATAAATCAGCGTAAGGGAAACAGTGACCCCTTTCCACAAACTGAAAATAAAAAAAGTGTCAAGGGCATCTTTTATGCTAATTTCACTCACACCCACCATGCAAGCCGCTGCTTTCACCTCAACGAGAAATAGCTTTACATTTTAATATCACAAGATCTTGTCTCACCCCTAACTTTTATATGAACCACCATATTGTACATCTTATCATATAGTCTATAGCAGGGGTCAAATCAAATCAAATTTTATTTGTATAGCGCCAAATCACAACAAAAGTCATCTCAGGACACTTTACTAAGTAAGGTCTAGACCTTACTGTTATCAATATTATTACATAGGGAAAACCCAACAAATCCCCCTTGAGCAGCACTTGGCGACAGTGGGGAGGAAAAACTCCCTTTAACGAAAGAAACCTCTGACAGACCCCGGCTCTTGGTGGGCGGCCTTCTGCCTCGACCGGTTGGGGTGAGTGGATAGAGGAGAGACAAAAGAAGAAAAGCAACAAGACACAACAATCAAACACTGATCAGGTCGATGTGGCCGGTGACTGCT